GTCATAATTCGTTGAAAAAAAGGCACCCCTACCCTACCTAGACTTAACCCATTTTCGAACGTAACTCATAATTGATACAATAATAGTTAATAAAAAAGAACACGCTACCTCCCCTATCTAAATGATTGGATTTCTTTGTATCCTTGGAAACAACAATTATGAACGTATGTGCTTTTAAAACTCAGTAAATTTTAAAATAAGTTATTCCAACATTCACCTGGGGGTGAAACAGAACTAATGCTTTTAATTTAATATAATTGAATTTTTTTCTGTTTTTGAAACATGGTAATTCCTGTGTAGCGATCAAACCATATTTTTAAATCCATTTATTATATATATATATATATATATATATATATATATATTACATACATACATACATACATAACCTATACATTTGCTAATTTCAATACTTGTATCTGATATAATTTCTTAATATTCCTGTACGTATTTTGGTGGATATACGAGGTTTGAGAAAAGGGTATTGAGACTAAGGGTATAAAAGAAAAACTACAACATATATCAATTCGGCATTTAATGTCCTTCGAAATAATCCCTTTCTGAAGCCATACACTTTAACCAGCATCGTTTCCATTGATGGAAGCATTTCTGGAACTCCTTTTTGGAATAAAGAGTAGCTGTCTCATCACATTCTCTTGGAAAAAAAACGATGTCTTTAAACCTTGTTCCTTTCAAGTGGGATTAGATTTTAGAAGAAAAAATTGCAAAGGGAGAGATCTGGAGGTTGTCGGAACTCGGGATTGACCATGGATTGGCCCAAAACCGCTGCACATGGCAATGGTCACGGATGAAACCTCTGCGGTGTTGTGAGGTGACCACACTCTACACACTTTCCTTCCAAATACTGCTATAAACAATGGAAGTGAGCGAAAACGTTATAATTTAATACGTATGTTGACAGAGTTCAAGGTCAACCAAGCGAATCCCCCCCCCTGCGTACTCTAGCCCCGTTACTATAGTCACCGTTCCGATACTTTTTCATGAGACCTCTTATAGACGGACTGAGGGAACAGTAAAGATCCTTTTAAAATGCTTAAAGAACAGTGTAACATTAAGATAAATGTATATTTATGACTACACACTTTATCGATATTTGAGATTTCTGCTTGTCCGCCCATGCTATTACTATGATCATATAAGGTTCCATATTTGCTATGAAAATTCACTTGATGCCTAAATGTGACAGTGTCCTGGGTGTAACAGCAACATTATCCAGTTGTTAGAGTAAGCTTTGAACTGCTGTAGCTTAGAAATGATTAAATATATCTTACTGGGATTCTCCGAGGTATATAACACTATTGGACTCTACTTTGAACAATAAAGAATGTATTTAGCTCTCAGTTGAAATGATGATCCCTCTAGTTGTTTGACTTCTTGATCCAGTTTTCCTCTCTACTACTCCCTGTTTTTTTGTTTATTTTTAACTTATTCTCCGTTCACTTGATGGCCTTTGAATAGACTTTGAAGATAGAAGCCAGAGTATGAATGTTCGTACCATTACTGAAGGCCTCAATGATCTTTTTCTTCTCATCATTGCTCAGTTGGGAAAACTGACACAAAACGAGTTTAACTTGTTCTCTTTCTAGCTGAATAACTCAAACGCTTTTTCAGTGATTCTTACGACAAACGGTGTTAAGATAGCTAAATGTTTTATCTGAAAACCCGGAAAAAAGGAACTCAATTTGGTGTTCTTTTAGATGCTAAACATTTTGTTGGCGAGACAATTTTCCCATGCAATTACATTATTAGGACAATTTTGCTGTTACAGTCGGTATATGATGTCAGCAGAGATAGTCGGATTTCTCGCAGCATAGAGTGAGATTTCGACTTTACCTATTCAGTACATTTTTCTATCTCACGAATAGGATCAAATTCAGGTACTAGAGTTAGAATTCCTTTTTTTTTACCTTTAGTATATGTGGTGAAGACGAAATCTATGATTGTAAGCAACAGAAAAAAAAGATCAAACAAGTACAGAAGTTTACATATCTGGGAAGAATTCTAACAGAGGATGGAAAATGTGACGCCAAAATCCGATGCACACATTTGAATACTCTGTAATATCAATCTTTCTACATGGTAGTGAATTCTGGACAATTTCCTTACAGGTAAAGAGAAGACTGTAAAGCAACAGATATGTGGTTCTACAGAAGGATGTTGAGAATACTATAGACTGAACATGTGAGGAAGTTTTAAGAAAAATGGAGACAAAAAGAATATTTATAATAAGAGACAGTTGAAATTTCAAGGACACGTGATGAAGAAAGAGGGATTAGAGAATAAACACTCACAGGACATATTGGAAACAAGAGAGTAAAAAAAAGAGTGTAACCTTAATAAGCTTGTGTAAATGGTTAGAACAGGGACACAGAAATATAGCAAAAAGACAAATCTTAATAAGAAATGCAAAAAAAAAAAAAGGGATTTAGTGAAAGACATGTACTTCCACGTTAAGGAACACACGGCACATAGAAATGCAGTCAAGTAAACGCATTGTTGGTAGTAAAATGGTATAAGTGAATGAATCGGGCAAAAGATGATGATGGAAGATGTGATTACCAATTTCGCATTAAAATTATTTTGTTAAAAAACTTAATTATTTTCTATTTTGTTATTAAAACACTATGTAAATATTTCAAATATTTTTTACATTCTTCAACAGTATATATATATATATATATATATATATATATATATATATATATTAGATAATATTAGTGGTAAATATACACATACATATGCAAAATATATAGATATATATATTATTAATAGAAATCTTATAAGTATAAGAATAAGAAACTATACTCGCTCGGAAAACCTTCGGTATCTTGATTTGCAAAAAAACAAGCCAATACCAAATGTAAAAAAGTATAAAAAAAAAGAAAAAAAAAAAGAAAGAACCAAGAACATGTACGTTAGCCGAAAATAATTGTCCAGCATGCCCAAAGAAAAAAACCCGATGCGAGTACGCAAAATAACTAAATAAAGTGCTCAATACAGTGAGTAGAGCAGACCTGGTTAAACCTAGAGAGCCAGACAAACCTAGCTCTGGTATTGGCTTGTTTATTTGTAAATCAAGATACCGAAGGTTTTCCGAGCGAGTATAGTTTCTTATACTTATAAAGTTTCTAGTAGGTTTGTTTGGCTCTCTAGGTTTTTATATATATATATATATATATAAATAAAATTCTGTGACTTCCGTTAATCCATCTATCACACCCTCTAAAATAGCCAAACATTGACTGATCGAAACCAAATTTTGGGGGAGAAGAACAAACAGTTAAGGAGATACAAAGTACAGTTGATTTTACTAGACTGCGTAAAACTTCGAACTAGGGTTTTTATCAAAGTATTTTTTGAAACAAATCATTCAAATTTCATCGATTGTTTTGCAAAATTAAACGACACTTTAAATCTCGACAAAAACGTTAGTGATATCTTCAACAACACTAAACACTGTAAGGATTTCAACATGCGTGAGCATGTTGCAAAAATTCTAGTGCATAAAATAGCACAAAACCTTAGAATAGTTTTGACTAAGGCATTCATACTAAATAAAGTACTTAATTCGAAGAATCAAGTGCAATGTTTTTGCAACAGATCCCCCAAGTAATTTCAGCTGTATAAGTCAATTGATATTTTTTGTGACACTGCTGAGGTTGTTCAGAACACAACAGATTTCCTCAAATACCTTCAGTTGCCTGGTTATCTTCTGAGAAATCTCTACCCTCCTGAGTTGTACAAACAACAACGGTCCTTCCTACATGCCATAGAAGAATAAATCCTAAATTAGGTAAGCAAAAAGAGAATATGTTAATTCCAAGGATTTCTACAATTTCGCTTCCCCCCACCCACAAAAAGATCTTTTTAAATTCAAATGACAATTCCCAATAGACTCAGTTTTACTGAGAATATTCACGAGGCAAGAACAATTTCTCACGGTCGTTAACCACAACCTGATACTTCACTATAATATAAATTACTACAAATCTTACATTCTAACAAACCTAATAATAAAATTCTAGCCTCTTTATATGTGAAAACCATATTTATTAATGCGTCTGTTAAAGAAGCAACATCATACATAATATTTACAATCATTCCTCACTTCCGCCAAAATTAAAATTAGACAGTATAATAATGATAATAAAACTTATCAGTATGCAGTCTAAAAGTTCAATTCTAATAGCTCCTTGGCAATATATATATATATATATATATATATATATACAGAGACACATAGTATATCTGTTGGTAGCGTTTTAGGGCTTTCTTTCTTAAACTAGAAAATAAAATATTTAATAAAATAACTAAATTAAGCATATGTTATATATATAATTTTACATAATTTTATATATCAACAGTGTTTACAAAAATAGTATAACAAATTAGAAAAAAGTTTTGTGACGTTTCATTTGTTAGGATTCCATCGGACTGGGCTTTGTTGCCACGTCTGCACATGCGCACGAAACGAGAGACCCTGATAGTGTCAAAATTTTTGAAACAATTTTTTTTTCAGTCTAGGTATTTTTTTTCCAATTTGTCATACTATTATATATATATATATATATATATATATATATATATATATATATATACATACACACACACGGGCGGTGTGAAATAAACCCGAAAATACAATTTGTAAATAAAAAATATTAAACAAATCGATATCAGGGGGAAAAAAAATCAAGAAAAAAAAAAGAAAAAAAAAAAGAAAAAACTAAAAAAATCGGTGCCGCTTGAAAATAATCAACCAACAATGCAATGTCTAGCCAAAAGAAAAAAAAACACACGACAGAGTAAACTAAGTTAGAACCTAAAAGTGCTCAATACACTAAGTAGAGCAAAAACTTGGGTGGGGGCTGTTTTAATTACATTTGGGCCAACCCTCCTTTGTTTTTATGCCAATTTGTTTACTCTTTCTGGTGGCCGTTTTTTCAATGAAATGTCGTTTGGCCAACCATCTTTAGCCAGAGTCATCCTGATGATCCGTTAGATGATAGATAGATAGATAGATAGATAGATAGATAGATGCTATTTACATTTTAGCGACATATGCACTTATATTCACGTGACATGAAAAATATGAAATAAAAAATATGACATCATTTTCATATTTAAAATTGAGGTACATAGTAATCACAAGAAATGAACTTTGATTTTTGAAATTGACTGAAGTCAGTCGATAAGTAGAAATATTAAATAAACCTAAGCGGACTGTGAACAGTTCCTTCATACTTTCATGTTAAGAACGAATCAATTCATGAAGTAGAAAGAGTGACATTTTAAAATTTAACAGATGCAATTTATTTCTTCTCCGTAACTCTTGTAATGATGTCTTTGTTAAAAATAGGAAGGCCACAGTTAGAGAGAGTATCGAAGGAACAGAAGACGAGGGAATGGAAACAAAGAAGATGTTTATCAATTACTCATAGAACGGAAACACTTGAGTTAATCAAATACTACTCAAATCCTACTCTAATGTGGCTACTTGCCATATTTATAAAAGTGAACATTGAAGTCAACACTTAGAGGCGACGGGCTGTTTCATGCTAGACGCAATCGTCAGGCCAATCGATTGCGTCTAGCATGAAAACAGCCCGTCGCCTTTTAAGTGTTGACTTCAATGTTCACTTTTATAAATATATGAGAGAGAGAGAAATATTCCCTGTCTCCCTGGACATTTCACTTCAAAGGTCAGAACTCTATTTTCTCTCAGTTTTTGTTTTTCTTTCTTTGAAGTAACCATTTCCTCGCTGATATTTCTTGAACTGGTATATTTCAAAGGATAAGACTTCGTTTCCGAAATATTTAACAGCTACCACATGCATTCAGACATTAGTTTAATTTACTTTCTAACACAATGTATATAAAATAAGCTTGAAAAAAAAATCTATGATAGTCTTACACTGTCTTTATGTCATAGTTGCTGTATTTGCATACGTATTTTACATTCGAAATCAGCAAGCATTATGGGGACAGAAATAATAATAAAAACCTCACCGTAGACAATCAACATAGACACATTTATAAAACAACCAAGCTGTTGTGAAATAATTATATATCTATGTTTACATACTCTACTTATGAATAGTTTAATGCAGTCGATGGGGTCACTCGGGCTCGAAGACGATTTTTTGTTGACCTAATTTTTTAATGTTTTCTTTTCGTCTACCTTTCCTCTTTTTTTTTATTTTCTTACGTTCTGGGTTCCATTATTGTGTATCCAAATGTTGGTAATATTGTCGCCATTATATTCTAGGTTCCTAAAGTAGAAAAGAAAATCTTTTTTTTCATGTGTTGTCTTCTTCATCTTCAAAGACATTTGAAGGCCGCAGACTTAACAACATACGATATGCAGATGACACAGTGCGGATAGCAGACACAGAAAAGAAACTACAACAACTCCTACAGAAGGTAGTGAAGGAAAACGGAAAGAAAGAACTAAACATCACTTGCCAAAAAACGGAATGCATGGTTGTTAGTAAAAGGGATCAGCCCAACATGTAGATTACAAATTGGAGATACCAAAATGAAACCAGTGCAGCAATTTAAATACATGGGAACTGTGTTAACAGAAGATGCAAAGTGCGACAATGAAATCCGAAAACGCATTGGTATAGCGAAAGACGCCTTCCAAAAGCTATGCAAGGTATTAAGAAACAGGAAATTTTCGTTGGAAACAAAACGAGTACTGAAATGTTACATATCAATCCTCCTATATGGCTGGGAATGCTGCACACTCTCCTCACAAATGAAGAGACTTGAAGCAACAGAAATGGGGCTCTACAGAAGAATCCCGAGGATATAACGGACTGAACATGTGAGCAACGATTTTAGAAAAAATTTTAGAAGAAAAGATTTTTAGAAAAAAGTTTTAGAAAAAATGATGGAAAGATTTCTGGAGCATATAAAAATAGTAAGAGGGCTTGGAAAATTTGATACTCGCAGGATAGATTGAACACAATGCATAACCGAACTAATGAAGTTGATTAAATGGATAGTGGAACAAGGTTTAGTAGAGAAAATAAAAAGACAACATTTATTACGAGTTACAAAGGACAGGAAATTGTGGAGAGCCATTATTATTAACGTCCCGAAGGGACACGGTACATAAAAGAAAACTTCGTCTTTCTTTTTCATAGAAGACATTTTTCTTCTTTACAGATTTCCTTTCTTTTCTACTTCCCTTGCCTATTGAATTTTCATTCTTTTTCATTCATCATCTTCAAAATATTTCCATTCCCATTTACCCCCTTTTTTGAACCAGGCCTGAAAATCCACACGATACACAACAGTTTGGTTTCAGTCACACTTGTTATAACGGACGCTGGGTTCTTCTGGGCAACTGATTTTTTTTTTTTTTTTTTTTTTTTTTTGATAACAGAAAATTACTGAAAATTCATATTTTTCTAAAAATGGATACTGAGATAAATAAATAAATAACATTCAACGCTGCAGCTCCAACCAATACCGCAGCTCTAACAGAAGCCTCTCTTACTGCACAATCCTGCTGACAATGGATCCCTTATTCTAATTCCATCATTCACACAATTTTGCTGCGGGATACCGACTCCCAAGGCCGCAGTAATTGTGCACTCATGAATAAACATTGGTAATTTCCAACATAAATAAAAGACAAGCAAAACATTCGGCGCTTCTTTTTTCATCTTCTTCTAAGGACATTTCTTGTTTTTAAACTGAAGCTGTATGGTATGGATTATCTCCCCTTAAACCTATTCTATATTTAAATAAGTTCAGCTCGGACACACTCCATTCTAATTAGAATAAAGCTTCAGATTAGATATATACCCACGTTCGTCTTTTCACTACAATCTGACATATATTAAAAAATATTAAACATTTATTAGTGCTTGACAACGCTTTGAATTTAAATTCGAAATTTTCTGTGCAAATACGAGTTTGATTGTAGTAATTTCTCTCACCGATTTAGTAATTAAATTTCAAACCTAATTTCAACCGAACGAACTTGTACGTAGACAAGAAGTTGAATAAGAGACGATTAAGCGAAAGCTGTGAAAAAAAAAGGCTAAAAACTAAAATATCCTAATCTAAGGATTGTTATATCACGATAAAACATAAGGACTAATGTTTTTACACAGCAGTTCTTTTTAAGAAGAAAAATTTCAAACAGCAAAAGTAAAGTTTTCAAATCATATTCATCGGTGTTTATGCTTTCTTATCTGTATTTGTAAAGTACTATGATTTCATTATCATCAAATTTTCATGTTGTTAATTCCTATAACGTTGATAACAATGAGTAAATCTACCGCCATAATAGTAAAAAAAAAAAAAAAAGCTATTTCACCAAGCCCTTCTTGTTATACTATTCTTGCGAAGACTTGTACTTATTTCACTGTTATTTTCATTCGAACATTGCATTTAACGTTGGGAGTTTCAGGAGACAACAAGCGTAATTCTTGCCAAGATCTTTTTAGACTCTCTGCAGAATCACTTAAACTTTTGTTGTCCAAAACGAATAAAGAAAAATGTAAATTATACTGAAAGTTTCTTTACGTTGACTGCATTTTACGGTAAATATAACGTTCCGCCATTTTGATGACATTGCTAGAAACAATGAATGTCACATTTAAATCAGTCAACAGTGTTTCTTTGAGAATCTCTTTCTCTCTATATATCTCTTTGTCTCTCTATGAGAATGCTTGGATAAATTCTCAGCCTGACACGTAGTTATTATGGAATTATGATCTGAAAGTTTCAGTACATAATATTTGAACTATGTCATTAATATTTTCCATAGAATTAAATGCATTGAGGAAGAAAAAAATGAAAAGGAAAACGAAATATTTGTTGCATGAAAGAATTGTTGTTTTAATCATTAGGCTACGGACTCATTGTTATATTTTGAAATGCAAAACAAATCTTTTTCACTCTCAATTATTATCATGGCTTATGGCCACATCACGTTGAAAAACCAGTTTCCATACGATCACTGAAGTTAAGCAATGTCGAAACTAGCCCTTACCTAGATGGGTAACTGTTTGGCAATACCAGTTGCTGAAAGCTCGGATGTGCGGGTGGTGTAATGTATAATGGCTCTGAATTTTTAATCGGAGAGCCGAATTTCAATTCCCGTTGGGTTCGTTATATTCACTTATTCGCAAATAACATTGTTAAAGGTATGAACACACTTATTCTCTCCCAACCTATAGGTTAATTAGTAAACCTTGTATTACTAAATCATTATTATCTCAAAAAGAATTCTTACAATCTAAAAATATTTTCTGGCTTTAAATAACCGGCAAAGGACTGAACCCTTTATTTCGCTCACTGGGGTGACTGTTCTAGTTCCAGGTGCCATGTTTAATGGATGTCAGTTATCAGTTATCTCCTGTTAATTTCCCTCTGAAAGTTCTCCACTGCCTTAACCGGGTATTGAACTCACACTCTTTGGGTCCTGTCACTGGATCTAACTAACGCCTTTATCCACTGTGCCATGTGTATGAATTTCTGGTTATTATAAACCTAATGTCTTCAGCAACCATTTTATACAATTTTTGCTGTCATCATTTCATGTTTTTACCGGAGCTCATATTGCAATTTTTGCTGTTATTATCGCTTTTCTCTGGCACTCCTTATTACTGGTTCCCATATTGTATTCATTTCTATGTTCGGTCGGCTCAGGAGATTTTTCTGGCCTAGCATATGTGCCGATTCCTTAAGTTTACAAATTTTCCAATGGTGTTCTTTGTCTATGATCTCAACTTTATCACACAGAGGGCGATGATCTCCCTTTTTTCTCCATATGTGGTCAACCACGCCTAATTTTTCCAACCACCTGAAGAAGGCCGGAGCGTACAACGGCCGAAACGTTGTAATAAATATGGTGACAAACATGAGGACAATAGTCCGAATAATGTAAATAAATATGGTGACAAACATGAGGACAATAGTCCGAATAATGTAAATAATATACATAATACCTCATCTTAGAAATATAGACAAACCTGCAAAGGTTGATAAGCCGTAAAAAACAAACCAGTTTATCATATATTTTTATTATTATTAACAATAATAATTCACTTAACTTATTCGAATTCAGAGTTTCATGGATGCTTTTTATGTTCAATCTAATTAGAGCATTAAAACTATTTATGTACGAATTGTATAAAAAATTTATTTCTAAAATAATTTTTAAGATTTTTTTTTTAAATGTAATACTATAAATGGGGTAAGGTTAATGTTTAATATAAAATTTCAAAATTGTTCTGTGATACTTAAATCATTAATATCGAACAGTGAAGAAGAAGATGTTACCAGTTTGTCTACGAAGTCTTTACCGGAAGGCGGTTAAAGGGAATTTTGGAGAACCATGATCGCCAATGTCCTGAATGGCACGGAACAAAAAAAAAAAAGGAAGAAAAAGAAAAAAGTGAAGAAAAAGAAGAAAAAAGTGAAGAAAAAAGATTAAGAAAAAGAGAAAAAAGATGAAGAAAAAAAATGAAGAAAAAGAAAAAAAAATGAAGAAAAAGAAAAGAAAATGAAGAAAAAGAAAAGAAAATGAAGAAAAAGAAGTTACCGATTTGTCTACGAAGTCTTTACCGGAAGGCGGCGCTCAATAAAGCTATTTCCCCAGGCTTTCAATTAACTGCGTATACCATTGCACTTTAAACAAAAGTACACGCTCAGTCATTTTTTATACACAGAATGGGCATAAAAAATAAAATGAAGTGACTACAAAGAACACAAAAGCAAAAAAAAAAAAAAGCAAAACGAATATAAATATGCAAATAAAGTATTTTTTTAATAGGAAGTCACACATTATTTCTAATATTCATTCCTTTTCAAAGATTTCCGCTTCTATTATACTTATAAAAGATAAAAAAAATTATTTCAACTTATTCTCCAAGTCTTACTCAGTTCCTCCTACTGTTGTCTGTGTCGTCAATTTTAAATTAATATCAAAGAGAGGGCTTCATTGTTTACTAGTCAAGTTAATAAACTATTATAATTCAAATTAGTATTGCTTATAATGTATTGTATTTTTGTTTAATAAGTTCGTCCCAAGCAAGGCAGTAATGCCACTAAGACACATTGGCTTACTGGGAGTGGAAGAGAATGAAAAAACTTAAGGGACTGGAAAGCCAATCCTCAACAAGAAATAAACCGCTACTCCTGTTCAATAGACTAGGGAGAAGTGTGAACCAGGCGATAGTCAAACCTACCGTAATTATTAATTTCTAATACGCACCCGTAACATTAGCCTACGAAATTATGGAAATATCTTACGTGTATAATACGCCCAATTTTTTAGAAGACAATTTATTATAGTAAATTTGATATCATAGTTTTCTGGTCCTCTCACTCAAAAATGTTGCCGACCCCTGCTCTAAATCATTCAAATAACTTTGTGTATGAGTCAGTTATAACAGATTTAGGATAGGCAATTGAATATAACTATCTCTAGTCCAACTTAGTCTTTGTTCAACACCACAAGATGCGAAAAAAAAACAAAATATTAACCTAAGAACTAGATTCATGTACTTAAATAACCTCATCAGATCTAGACTCATACGGATGTCAGGCGTAGTCACCAACTTGATCAGAAATGTCTAATCTGTCTGCTCTATACAGCACCACCTTTTTCTCAGATTGAAAATTCAAGCAGATTAACACTGTAGGTCTTAACCCTTAGATTCCTGCGATCTTGAACAATTCCAACCCTTCTGTCTGAGCTCCTGAGTCAAAGTTCGCAAATAATTGGTATGTAAAGTTTCACGGTAGATATAAAAATATAAAATAGTTACAAGAGTTTACTCACCCTTTAACCGGTGGCTGGGCATTACGTCAATTTTCTCGACCACCGGTAATGCGGTGGTCAGGGATCAAAGAAGCGAATATAGTGACACACGTAGCCGAGAAAATAATTTATATTTACATCTCTTGTATAGTAAGCAATCGGAACTTTTCGGCTTAAAAAGTGTATTATACATGAATAATTACTGTATACGTGTAGGTCTAATGAGGATAGGAAGAGTGTCATGCTAGCCTTAAACATGGGGATAATCTGCATTTGAATTTTTACTCTTTTTACTCAGTTTAAACACTGATGAATGTCAGGGTTGCACAGCTACCTAAGTAATCAAGTAAGTTTTGTATTCACTGAAAATCCTTTCCTGTGGCTGACACAAAGTGAGAACACAGTGAGGCGTGACTATTTAATTATATCAATCAAACATTATAAAATGAAAATTGCAGATTATAATTCAGGCTAACAACTTATTTATATATATATATATAATAATAATTTCTGGCCACTTCTAACCGAGGATACCTGTCTATCAGAGGGATTAGCCAATCCTTATTGTGGATACTCGCTGAGGAAATAAAAAAATTTACAAATTTTTATATCATCTGTCAATGCGTCAGAAAATTTTACATTCGATTTACAGAAACACACATTAGTGAATATATATAACTTGTGTGTTTTGTGTTTCATTGTATACATCTATATGTGTGTGTGTGTTTCTTCAACACCCACAGAGCCAACCTGTGGTTTATACAGCAACTATGCTGAGCAGACCTTAGTTACAGTTTCTGGGAGAGAGGGTGTTATCTAGATCAACAATCTGAACAACACCAGCCCTCAGCCACAATGACTTGTGACTTCGTGCTAGCACAGCTATCGACGGCCCCAAGTGTTCCGTCTACCCAATTTTACTCACAAAGCTAAGGTCAACCCGAGGTATGGTTTTCAGGCACTTTTACGCTGCGATCGTACCGTCCACCAGATCGATAACATCAGGAAGTTACTTTCCTAACAAATCAACCATAGTTAGGTTTGAACCCGGGTCTCATGATCAGAAAGCGAACGTTCTAACGACTCGGCCATATATATATATATATAATTGAACCACAAAACACAACAAGCAGTGAAGTTATATATATTCACTAATGTGTATTTCTGTAAGTAGAATGTAAATTTTTCTGATGCACTGATCATGATGTAAAAATTCGTACATTTCTTTTTTATTTCTTAAACTCCTTAACACCAACAGAGCGAGCGACGAGAATGTTAAAATGTAGCATTTTTTAGCTTCTGAAGTGTTCGCTTTTATAGATTTTATATTGTCACGGTTTGATTACCAACGTAATTTTGAATGACGGAATATTTTTTCAACCTAATTCTGGATAACCCGAATTTCACAGGGGAATGTGCCAAGAGTCGACTAAATTTGTGGGTTCTTGAATAAGCAACAAATTTAGATTCATCTTTAAGCAGATCGTCATATCTGTCACTTAAATAAGAAAGTTCTTCTTTTGAATCCGTTCCGCTTCTGGTCTCATGTATAGAGACGCCATTAAATGTTTAGCATTTCATTAGCCATTTAACATTTAATCTTGGTACCTAAATTTTTTCACCTAAATTTTTCTGTAAGATGTTCGCCCTACTTTGTGGAATTCAAGTCACATGTTCGCCCTGCTACTACTGCATTCCTGTCACATGTTCGCCCTGCTTCTACTGCATTCCTGTCACATGTTCGTCCTGCTTCTACTGCATTCCTGTCACATGTTCGCCCTGCTTCTACTGCATGCCTGTCACATGTTCGCCCTGCTTCTACTGCATTCCTGTCACATGTTCGCCCTGCTTTTACTGCATCCCTGTCACATGTTCGCCCTGCTTCTACTGCATTCCTGTCACATGTTCGCCCTGCTTTTACTGTATCCCTGTCACATGTTCGCCCTGCTTCTACCGCATCCCTGTCACATGTTCGCCCTGCTTTTACTGCATTCCGATCACATATTCAACTTTGTTTGCTGTATTTCTATAACACGTTCATATCAGCTCACTTGTATTTTTATAATCAGTTTACTTGCCTATTCTTATGTTGATTTTCACTCAGTTTATTTTAGTCCAGATGAAAACTGGGTAAACAGATTGCGCTGCTCAAATATTAGAATTAAGTGGGAGAGAAAATCTGGCCACTTGCCTTAAAAATCAGCATTCGAAATCCTAGCGCCAGTTGCAAATTCGCAAACACTGCAGCTACAAAACAAGTCCAAATTATCAAAAAATACAGAATTACCTTGAACTGACACGAAACCTTAAAAACTTTATTCTAGTGTTCTCTCAAATTATTTGGGGTTTTCTTTTTTACGTATAAGAGTTTACAGCTAAAATTCTCATTGATGAAGATAATAACTCAAAAAAGCAAAATAAAAAAAAATGAATGATTTTTAGTCAACCTTTCACTGCTAAAGTTTCATCTAACAATTAATACTCACTCATAATCCCATATCTTGAATATAGACTCTTTAATTACTCTGAACATTGCTCCAGGGGGAGAGACCTTAAGTAATTAAAACATAACCATTTTGACATATTTTTTTAAACAAACGTAGCTTTCTTACAAAATCCCATTTGCGGTGACCTCAGGCAGGCTCGAACTCAGAAGCAATGGCCAATTTTTACTGGACAAAATATTTTACTCTTATAAATTATAGGATACAGGTTCGATTCCTGTCGGAGGATGAATATTTTCTATGAAAATTTCTCGGATATTCAGGCCGGTCAATGTTGTTTAATACTGTTTAGTATAAACAGAGCATTTACTTAAATATTTGTATCTATAAAAAGAACGTATAAACATAAAAATGTCTTAAAATACATTAATAGCATCACTAATCTGTTAAAACTGTGTTCTATCATGAAAGAACGATTTTGGTTTTAATTCGATTAAATTCCTCAAGAAAGATTTGTATATATTTGGAATTTGTTGAGATAACTGACCAGAGAATGTTATCTGAATCAAAAGAAGTGACAGTTTGGAGAAGTTGAAGGTGGAATATCTTCCAATTCCAGTTCCATGATCGTCGGCTGCCTAACATGTGTGTATTGCAATGCAGAAAAAAAATCATCAGCCGCCTTGCTTGGCCAGGAAGAGCTCTCATTTCTTTTCTGTCATTCAAATATACCAATTACTAACTGAAGCGTTGTGCAGTAACAATTCATCCCGATTTGGGTAATAAAGAATTCTCTTCGAATCACAACAGAGAAAAAGCATTTTTTTCAGTAGATTCAATTTAGTTTGAGATAGTTAACTCTATTCTGGATTTGTTTCGTTACGGATTCTCGTAATAAATCAATTTATATTACTAACAACCACTTTTTTTAAATTGTTTTTTTTTTTTTTTGTATGTCTAAAAGAAGTGTAAACACTGATCAAAGATTCTTTTTTGTAAATTCATGCAGAACCCATTTACCTCAATGTCTTTATTTAAAAACTTTTTATTTAAAGACTTGTAAACGACTTACTATAATTGACTTATTGAAGAAGCAAGAAATAAACTTCAAAGATAGTCATACGATTTTCCTAACATTCTAAAAAAGAAAAGATGGCGCTGGAAAATTTACCCACAACATTATGACCTGTCATCTACCATCTCACCAATATGACAAGCTTGATGAAGCAGGCATTCAAGCGGACCATAAAACAAACTAGGTCACCGAACGAACTTACGCTTTTGCTGATTACCGCCTACACACTCGGGGTTGGGGGGTGGGAGTGCTAAACTAAAAAATAAAATAAAATAAAATAAAAGTGAAATCATTTGCATTTGATCGTTTTGCATTTGAGTGTGAAGTGGTCCTGTTTTGGAATAACCAAACTTAGATTCCAGTTTGATCTCTCTCACTCTCTGATGACTGCAGATCTATTTAGGGTTCCGGGATTTAATGACAGCTGCGTAAACAAAAACCCCTTCGTGATTTCCCAGGGCAAGTCCCATACAAATTTCAAAGGAGGAGGGGCTTTGAGGAAAAACAAGTCGAAGAGATCAGATTAACGAAAAGCAGAAAGAGAAAGACTGGAAAAAAGAGAAAGATAAAGCGAAGGTTTTTTTTCTCCACTTTTTTTTTTTTTAGCGCCGTTTTGACGGTGAGGAAAATATCAGAGTAGAAAAAAAAAAAACAAAAAAAAAAACAATAAAAACGAAAAAGTACAAAAGAAGAGTTTTGTTAGAAATAAAGAGAAAAAAATTCCAGAGGATTTTATTTTTTAAAAAAGCCATACATATATGTGTGTATATATATATATATATATATATATATATATATATATATATATGGCATATGCCGTTAGTAATTACTCAGTGTAGACAGCATGTGACCTTTCTGTAGTAAATCTACAAGAAAATAAAATATTTTGCATTTTATGCATAATAATCATAATTTTGTTAGATTAGGTGCATATATGAACTGCCTACCTTACCTACTTGGACGGCACGTCCCTTATATATATATATGCGCCACTGAAATAAGCAACGAGCAAACCCATTAAAATGCATTACATTTGATATAGGGTTTAATCTTAATGCAGATACCTGAAACTTAACAAGCGACCCCTTGATCTTTGGTCTAATACTGAACTATTTCAGTTTCTGACTTGTCTATTATTCTTGTCAAAACAATAAGGATAAGGAAAACAATAAGATTTTCAGATAAAAACAAAACAAAAATTATTATTATTAGGATGATCGTAAAACAATTTGCCCTATCATAAGATTAATTTATTTTAGGAGGACCTCTTGACCGGGTCGAGGATTTTTCTGTCCCCATTCGTATATATAATATTAATAGCCAGATTACTCGCGTATTAAATACTTTAGTTCATAAATATCCTTTTTTCTTCTCGCCCCCTCCAGTCTTCTCCCCTCGCACCACAATTATGGCATTTTTGCTAAAGTTAAACTTAAAATAAAATGTTTTTCGCCATAGATTAATAATTATGATGAGTTCGATCCTTACGGAATGCTCCATATATGTGCTCTTGTACTTTACTAAGTTAAACTTGGTAAATGCCCAATTTTAGTGGCCTTAAAGTTCGTAGGAATGTTTTGAAGGTTAATTTGCTGGTGTAATGAGTTCGATCTTTACCAGTAAAGTATGGATAAGAATTCGATGGAATGATAAATACAAGATTTTGGAAATTCTTCTTCAGAAAATGAATTTTAACAAAAACTTCATTAACGGGACAAAACGTGAATCACGTTAAGCTTATGAACGCTTGCTCGTTAATGCAGATTTTGTTGAAATAAAATCCATTTAATATATATATATATATATATATATATATATATATATATGAGAAAGAACAGAGCGGTAAAAATCCAGTTCGTAGCATTTACTTTTTTAAAAAGTGCTCAATACAAAGTAGAGCAAAATATCATTATTATTATTATTATATTATTAAAAAAAACTAGGACTAATAAATCCTTACATGACATATGTTGCCTGTGTTTACAAGAAAGATTGCATATTATAAAGTTTGCTAAGAAAAAAGCTCCTATAAACCAAAGAAATGAATTAACGATGTTATGCCGGCATTGTCTATCTTACTTTAAAATGGAGTGAAACAAATTTTTCATAAATAATTACATATTAAAATTTTATAGCCATTAAGTTATTAGTATATAATGGTCCACCCAATATTTATTTGAATTATTCAACTTTTATATTGACATGTTTTACAGTCTATTCGGTACAATTTGCATCGTATATAAATATTCTACATTTTTAATTTTACCTGCTGGTCCCTTTAAGAACCTTCCTGAATATAAAAAAATTAACTTCGCTAACAAATTAAAAAAGGCATTAACTCACTGAACGACACCATCCTTGTTTATATTAATTGTACAATGGATTAGATGTTCGATCCATATTACCTGAAATTGAGAAAAAAATAACACCCATGCCTGAGGATGGTAAATGTTTTTATCGAAAGTACTTGTAAGCAATATGGACCGAATATTTAATCCATTGTATAATTAATAAAAACAATCGCGTCGTTCAGCGAGTGGTCAGTGAGTTAATGCCTTTTTAATCAGTTAGAGAAGTGAGTTCGCCATTAATTACATTAACTTTGTTGATTTATTCTTTAATGGCTATTTTACATTATTAATTAAGCTGCATTATTTAATAATATATATGGTGGAGTACAACAGAAAAGATTATGGGCACAAAAATCATTTATCCACATTTACCTTCACATTACGAGGTGATACAGGAAAAGATGGAAAAGTGATACTGTTTTGATCTCTTTACAAGAAGAGATTTTTTACAAAATATAAATCCCAAGAGATAATTGAGATCTACAGAGAAACATTGTGTAAATCTATAAAGAAAAAAAGAAGTTCCATCTGGTTTTGTTCCTTCTGTGTGTTTCGTGGGCAGCTGAGATTAGGTCAGAAGCATCTCTCTTTCCCTTGTCATTTTAACTTTAGTTGTGACAGATTAACGAACAGAAAGAAACAAACATATATTTCAACACGATATCGTTACTCGAATATGTTTTACTCTCCCCTCTTTCCACTTGTTTTGTCCACACTTGCACACAACACACTCATCTTAAAAATCACTTTCATTTTGAAGAACGCGTGTAAAAAAACAAGAAAAACATATCAGGCAATGAATAAGGGGAGAGGAAAAACATCAATTCAGTCCGAAAATAATGAGAAATGACTTTAGAGCTCTAAAAAGAAAAAAAATATGAAAGACTACGAAATACAATATCTTTTTATAAATATATTTGTTAAACGTCGTTTAGTACGGCATAGGTGCGGCTCATACGGTTAAGATTGAACACACTAAATGTAACCAACCGACATGAGAAAAAAAAATGACAATAACAAAAAGAACTTAACCACTACGCTATATCAATCTTTATTTTTATTTACTGATTAACCTACTTTTCAACTCTATTGAAACTGCAATATTTATATATTCGA